ATCAGAGAGGAGATTAAGCAATATATGAGTTCTGTTAAACAAAAACAAGAATAAAATCCTTGTCATTTGAATAAATCTATTTCTGCTACTTCTAGAAGAAGTGGTCCAGGTTAGAAGTATGTTTATAACCCAAAACCAAACGATAAAAATTGTATAAGGTGTAATTTTTGTGAAAAAGATACCAATGGGGGTATTAACCAATTCAAGAAACACCTTGCTGGTATTAAAGGGAATGTTGCTTCTTGTAAAAAGGTTCATGAAACTATCCGGGATGAGATTAGACAACTTCTGAATTTAAAAGAATTAGAAAATGATGATAATGAGCCTTGTTCTATGAAAATATCTTCTTTAGGTTCTTCTAGAAGTGATGATCTGGGTTGAAAGTACGGTTACAACTCGAATCCGAATAATAAAAATTATTTTAAATATAATTATTGTGGAAAGGATACTAATGGGGGCATTTACCGATTTAAAAAACACATTGTCGGCATTAAGGGGGATGTTGCCCCGTATAAAAATGTTCCTGAGGCTATCAAGGAGGAAATTATACAATATTTGAGTTTAGAGAAGCACAAAAAGATAGAAAAGGGTAGAGCAGCCATGACTCCTAGGGCCTCATCTGCACATACTAGTAAGTGGGAGGTAGAAGAAGAGGAGGAGGAAGAGGCGGATTCAGAAGAAACATAGGAGAACGAGCGTATATTGAAGAGGGAGATGACTCTGAAGATGATGGCCTCAAATCTGATGCATATGATGAAGCTTACCCTATTCTTTCTGATGACAGTGATGATAATAATGATGACTAAAGATTCTTGGTGTTGAGTGTTGACTGTTGTGTTGAGTGCCGCCTATTGTGTCCTAGACTGTATATTTTCTGAATTTCTATAGATTTTCTTTTTCTTATTTTTAGTTTCTACTTTCTAGTTTCTAGTTCTACTATCTAACTTTGTGTGTACAGTCTACAGTGTATCAAACTATCAATGTATGCTTGTATGGTTTTACTGTTTTAGCATTGTATAAAAATATGGATTATGGTCTTATGGATTATTAAAATTCTCTTTTGGTCTTCTATCTTTTTTTTTTTAACTAAGATTATGGTCTTATGGATTATCAAAATTCTTATGGATTATGGTCTTATGGATTATCAAAATTCTTATGGATAAATCATTAGCGGTCATCAGTTTTTTTTCTTTTTTCAACTGGGCCGCCCAGTTTCTGAGCGCTCACCTAGGAGCTGGGCGCCCTGGACCGCCATTGCCGTGTAAGTGCCGCCAAGCGCTTTTTGGAACACTGGATCCAAGTTTTATGTTTATATCTTAGAGAGGAAATAAAGCGGTTCGGTGATATACTAATAGGTCCGAGATCCACATGTATGAATTGAAAGGTCCAAATATATTTTGTTAACAAGGTTGAGCTCAAGCACCCAAAAATTTGATGTGAGCTATGCATGACTCATTATAAATCTGATAATATCCAATGAAGCCCCTATTTCACCTTTCTGCTACACAATATTTGCTGGAGGTTGTAAAGCAATTATTTGATCCTGTATTCCTTGCAGAACTAGTGAAACAAATCTGAAAAATATAACCCACATCACTCACTTCTAAAGGTCTTTACGTGCCTTCAAACTGATATTGGCATCCAAGTTTATATTCTTTTCTATAAGGCATCAAAATTTCTTCTTAATCAAATTTACATAGCCATATCTTATAAAAATCCTCAGTTAACATTAAAAACATTTATTTCCTATATGCATAATGAAATCTAGAGATCCACAAAGGTATAAGTGAATTACATTCAACAATTCATATAATTGTTCCCCGCTTCTTGGTTAATTTTCAAAAACTGCAGTGCTCAAAGCTTCACATGTAACCAAATGCAAACTGGGGATTAAATACATTCTCAAAATATTCTACTTATCAATGTGTCAACTATTGAATATACCATATCACAAACACCACCGGCATTCATCATCAACATTCACAGGCAGCGACACATCGACATATGAGGAAACATAATTAGTATTTAAATGATGAAAATTTTCTTCTTTTTTTTTCTCCTAAAGCAAAACAAACATCATACTTCCCAATGGCATTTGTCTTGAAAACGAATATTTGATTAACAATAATTGGGCCTTGTTCGTCCTAACAATAGATGGAGCCTTGTATCGTGAGGGTATGAGGTGTAATGAGTCACAAACTACTACCCCCGGGTATATCTAGTGTATTCCCAAAGAAAACAAATTGCAATGTGTCATTACCTATGTAGATTCACTGTTTCCCTACTTCAATCAATTTCAAATATGTGAATCCATATTTGGTCCTTGTCATATGGTGGATACAAGAAGAGTCAAGGCAGCACCCATTAAAATCATGATAAAGAAGAATAAGAACACGACCAGCCATTTAGACTCTGAAGTAACACAAGTCTAGGTACTTGTCCTTCTCCTACTACTTTACTTACTGGAGTAGGAACAATAAGAAGGGCTGTGCACGCATCACCGTGGACAAGAGTGGTCTAGAGGGCTCTATAGATGAAAATATCTACAAGGGAGTAGAATTATGCTTTGGAAAGACTATAAAGGTGAAGAAGATTTCAAAAAGCGTGAAGAGTCATATAAAGAGTGTGGGTGTATTTAGTATTTTCCACCGGGCCTAGAGGATTCTAAAAGAATCCTGAATATTCTTGTATATCATGTAAATATGAAAAACAGAGTAGTGTCGAAGGACTAGAAAGTACTAAGACCATTGGGCCATGGTACGGAGTGAGCTTATATAATTGCAACCAAGTTTCAAGAGAACTATGACCACTTGTTCCATTTGTCATTGCTACTTGAGAAAGAAAGAATGTGCCCAAGTGTGTAAGAGTTAGGGGCTTCAAACCCCACCGTATTATCAAATAGGATGTCGATATGAGGGAGAGAAACCTTCCCAAGTAACTGCACCAAGTTCATATGAGAGGAGAGGTGTGGGTGTTGGGCAAGAGCAAACCAAGGGTGTGCTAGCTTGCTATAAGGCTGACAAATGCTGGTGAGCAGATGCCAACAGGGATGGTCAAGGTAGAGAAGTTTCAACATTGTGAGTTCCTAGACATGTCCAATCCAGTCCCCATTCCATTCTTAGGGGTTGTGTGCTTCATGAGTTGGGAAACCCCATGCCTTGTCCCAATGATGAAGGTTGGGAGGCTTAACGGACAGCCTATAATAGTTCTTCAAGACGTGTGAGGCTTGAATGTTAACGTCGTACAAGCTAAACAATGCTTGGTGCGCTCAACACTCAAAACCTTACCTCTTGCATGAAATTGGTGTGGCTACTTGCCAGCACTCTCATCTACTTTGGCACAATACTTTTTAAGTAACGGCGAACAAGGGGTACTCAAGGAAATTATAAAGAATTCACTCCCAAACCTTGGTTACAAATCGGGGGTTCCCCCTTTATTCAAACTCACTTCTGACAAACTATGGCTAGGATGATGACAAATCATATTTGTTTAAGAATCAGGGAAATTTTTTGAGCCTTCTACAATCTTCTACGCCGTAATATTTTCCATTTTTATACAATATACATCTACATTAAAGACACTTGTAGAATCCTCTAAGCCAACTAGAGGACCCTAGATATGCCCACACTCCTCCCAAACAATCTCTATACTTGTAGAACCTTCCACAAGAATCTGGAGCTTTCCATCTCTAAATCCTTCTTGAAGCACTTCTCGGATTCATTCCATCTCCATCTATGGAGCCTTCAAGACCACTCTCTGGTGCTTGGTGAGGCAGGCAGGGAGGCTCATTCATGACAGTCCATCAAAATATGATGGACCAAAATATGAAGAGTCAATGCAGCACCTATTAAGATCATGATCAGCCACCAAGTGTTTGAAATAATGGAAATCACGATCTTGTGTCTTCCTTTTTTTGCTGTTTCTGTCATTCTCTTTTCGTTGATAATTACAGTATCGATACTGATACTGTATATTCCTAGGTTACTATTAAATGTAAAATTATACGTACAGAAAGGAAAATGATAGTTACCAACATGGAAAAACATTCCAATTTGCTGCTGATGTCCCTAAAAAAAAGAACTTGTTTGCCTTACTTCTTAATCTAAATCAATCAAGAAGATGGGGAATTCTCCCCTAGGTACCACTATCTTAAACATGGTAATTAAAAGGCCATATCAACTTGGAAAAAGACATTACCTGGGAAAGAACATAGAAAGGGTTACAGTTAACAATAACAAAAAAAAAAAAAAATAACATAGAAAGGGGTAGCCAAACTGAAGCTCAAAAGCATTCTTTCTACTTGGCAAAGCAGGTTATCCAACCAAGAATAACTCAAGATGAGCAATCTCAAGATAACGGACAACCACAAACAAAGACATTAAAGTGCTTAAGACAGTATTTCAAAGAACTAAACTAATGAAACAGACCACATCAAATATGGAAGCAAATTTCAACATGACAATATGATGATTATCCAAAGTAACATGAAGAAGCCCAGGTCAAGTAACCTAACTTTTTATCTGATGCAGAGGCCTACATAACCATCTGAGATGACTAGATCACTACGACCTAAAGAAAAAAAGTCACTTTAAGGGAAACAAGGGGGTTTTCCCAAAACTTGAAAACCTGTATCACAAGTGGAATCCTCAACACAACTGCTTCCGAAGTCAAGAAAAACAACTTTTACAATGACGGGTTGCAATGCAGAAACTGTAGTTACTAAGAAGTTAGACTCAAATAATTCTAAAGATCGTAATTGAGAATAAGACTCCAAGAAGAAGAACGATACACTTAAATTGTCCACACTGTCAACTATAAACTTTCCTATTAGGATGCGATTTAACTCAATTCTTTCTCGAGACAAGAAATAAAGCATTTTGTAAGAAGAAAGACAAACCATTAACACTTGTTCGCTCTAGCACACGTACAACAAAAGCTTTATGTAATTCAAGTCAGTTCAGTCTACAAGAATGTATACAAGATCGACAACTGAGAAATACCTGAGTTACTAGTCTGCCAAACCTTTTAGAGAGAGGTGTTACAGGCCCATTTCTAGAAGATATATGCTCACCACCACCTACATGAGATTTTACACCTGAAGCACTGACACCATGAACTTGAATCTGACTATTCCCTGGGATATTATGAGTCAAACTACTGCCAACTTGTATTGTCTCTGAATTTGGTTTCTGCAATAAAATTTGTGTCTCAGGCAAGCTCGGGATTGATTCATAAATTTTCAGACTCCCAGGGGATAAAGTGCAGTGTTTTGTAGGCAATCTGGTCCCTCTTCCAACTCCACCACTCTTCTTTCTCTTTGAGGTATCCATGGCAACCCAATCTTCATCATCACTCGAATCAGATGAAACATTTCCATAGTCCTCCTGCAATACCCAACACAAATGGATACAGTAGTAGGTGAAGTAGAATAATGTGACAACCGAATAATGAACAGGAAAACATCAAATGAAATGTAATCATTATTGTTTCTGATCATCATCATCTTCCAAGCCTTATCCCAGTTATTTGAGGTTCATGATGTGACAAAGTTTTACATTGGCTGCTTACCTAACGCAATCCACCTTCTTTACCCGGGCTTTGGACAGGTTAAGGGAAAGTTTAAGGTCCTTAGCCTCATTAGATAAAAAAAATAAACCAACAATTCAAGAAATGACTCAACGAACTCTATTTATAATGACCGTAGGTATCCTAAACACTGATCCCCAACATTTTACTGTTTATCAGCTAATGAACTTGCAATCTACAGACTTTGATCCACCCAAATCACAATCATTGACAAATATTAAACAACCCATCAAAGGTCTCTAAACCTTCCAACAACAACTCCAACCAAAGTGTGCCATTCTTGAATTGTGGCATACCCTTGATATCCAAGGGCGCAAGGAAATGGCATGCCATCGATATCCATTAGTCAAAAAAGATAATAATAAAAAAGAGTTGTGATGCTGTTTGTTGGAATTAGGTTGTGATACTTTCGAAAGGCGACACACACAGAGATCTACGGTTTTAAATAGAGCAATGAGAAACAAATAAGAGAAAAACAAGCAGCAGCAAAGGATTTAAGAGAGAGAAAAATGCAACTGAAATGTTGGGTTTTCAAACCTCGTTATGTGGAAGCCATTACTTATGTAGCACATTTGCTATATTTTGGTCCTTCTCTCTCTCTCTCTCTCTCTCTCTCTCTCTCTCTCTCTCTCTCTCTCTCTCTCTC